CGATAACATAATATAAAAGCGTGCGCATTCATTCTTTTCTTTCTCTCAAGCAATAGTTGGGTAGCCTATGCCAGAGCCCGCACTTTTGCCATCCAGTGGTTGTCAATGCGTGAGACATTAGCCGTGAAGACTCTGGGCTCGAGATTGCATTTCAAATGGTTCTATACTAATGTAGCTAAAATGCTCTAAAGAGCTGAAAATCTTACAAAATCAACTGATTACCATCCAAACGACATGGATTGARGYATATAATTCAAGATTAGCGGATGATTCGTGCAGAAATGACTGGGCATTTTCTACCGCCGACTCGAAGAGCACTACTTCTTCGACACACAAGTGTTCGATGTCAAACACAAAATCTTCAAAAATAAGAAATCACATGGATATTTAAGGTTCATACTTTGACAGAAAACAATCATTCGATGGAAGAAAGCATATCAAACCTCATCTGAAAAATATTGATGCCATTTTCTAAACTAACGATGTGTTTGAAGTTCGGAAAACTGCACGTGTGAGCTTTACTGAACTCTGTATACAAAATATAACTTATATTGTGTATGAAGCATTTTAATTCTCTATTGTTTGTTTTGATGATTGTTTAACTTGAAAAACTTAGACAAATCCAAAAATATGAACTGTCATTAGAAGGCTAAGGTACATCTTTATGATGGCACAGAACGCCAGATTTACAAATTAATGATAAACACAAAATAAAAAAGAACAGAAACACAAGATACAGATACATGATTAAAATGATCAAAATATTATTCAAAGTTATACTGCCAAGACTGTACTTAACTTAATTCTGTCTTGACTTATTACAAACAAAGACTATATTTGTGAAAATAAAACACCATTGTCACAGGAAGCCCACGTAAGCGATCCATGATCGTAGTGGAAATCAAGCTCTTAAGTAATGAAATAAATACCAATGTTGCATRTTATTTTTATATTGTGTGTTTATCCACGAGGCAACTAATAATGCTTTTTAAAGCATTAAAAGGGTGATATTGAGCCAAACCCTGTACATAATCCAAAGAGGTTTATTGAGAGTAACACTGAAAATTCATGGTCAAAATTTTAGTAATATGTCTCTTCAAGATATATGAGCTGATGCAGTGATTTACAAGCAGATGCATTGAATGTTAACTTTCAACAATCACTATTATTAGACCCAACGTGTGTAGAGGATAATTCTAGTGAAATCAATATTGGCCATCTTGAAGAATTTCATTATGAGTCACACATAGGACTATGCTGCAATCTAGCATTTCAAGTTGAATAGAAAATGAGAATGTTGGATATATGACTAAACTAACTGCAATAATGCCATGAGAGGTCTTGAGTGTGTTGTTTTGGTAAATAACCATGATCAATTGCAAGTTTTTACAACCATCTGATCTTGTAAAGTTGTAAGTTTATTAAAAAATGTATGCAGCTTCACAAGATGAAATTGGTTGCATGGCAACTACATCTTTTACTTTTTTTGCTAAAGACTCCTGCCAACTCATTGTCAAGGCACGATTCAACCCTCGTTAATTATTAATTTCTTATTAAAGTTAAAGGATTTGCTATCATATTTAGTGAGAAATTAGTGAGTCATATATAATGGTTATTATTTTTGCACCACCAGATGGGGTTCCTGTGGCTAATCAASATTTTCCGAACGGTTTCCGAACACTTTTCCGACGCTATTACGAACTTTGACCGTTGATGCGTGTTGTGTTGCGATGTTTTGAAAAAGGCGGGTGTAATTCAAAATGGCAGAAGAGAATAAGGAAGACGATAAGAATAGTAGCAATTATTTTACACCGTTAAACCCAACTAGGCCCAACCAAGTACAGAAAACATGGTCATCAAGGAAATTTACGCCGTACAGTATAACAGGTTCAAGAAGATTTACGCGAATTCTGACAAGCCATTCAAGAGTCAAGAAGTATAACGACATGATGAAAGATCCAGGAATGGAAATTACAAATTTGACTCCACCGGATAGTCCAGAAAGATTGTCATCGTTTATAACGAGAACTCCAGGGATAGCTATGCAAACAAACAGAGAATTGAAGGATATTTCGAGCGATATCTGTCATATTGTTGGTAAAACATGGAGACTTCATCGTTGTTCTCCACTTCACAGATTCAAAACGTCCTTTTTGCAGGGTTATAAAAGGTTGCTTTTGGGGCATTTGGAGTCAATCAAAACCAAGGGACTTGCCTTTGAAGTCGGCGAGGAAGTGTATAGTATTGATGGAAAGTTTTCAGTGGATATAAGCATTCTACAAGAATTTTCATTCTATGATACCGACGAGAGAGCACTCAAAGTTACAGTTTATCAAGTTGTCAACAATACTTCTTCACCGGTTTTAGATGCGATATTCTGCAACTTTGGGAATGATTTCCAGAATTGGTACGGATTAGACGGCTTCACTTTTTTGCCTGTATGCATTGTGAAAGGCCCAGTTAGTTTATCAAGGACTGTTATGTCATGGTTTCAAGATCATTTTGATTGTACCATCATTCCTTTCAAGCTACCTCCCATTGAACTTACTTGGTATGCTTCACTTTGGGCTGGACTAGAAACAGACAACAAGCCTTGTGATTTTGAACTTTGCTACACCGTTCCRTGCTCTGTCAAAGGACTAAAGAAAGTATCATTTTGTGTGGATACAGGTGATGTTAAGTTGCTTTGGGACAGTTGCCATTCAAATGATTCTGATATCTTTACAGGTGAAGAATCACAAGCTTTTATGGAAGCTTTGAATTCTCATTTTTATCAACATTTCAGAGTTCATCTTGGATCATTGTCATTATCAAGAATACGGACTTCAGTTGTATATCTTAATAGTGACGGACAGATAAAGATTTTGCAAGCTAAGTATGTTAGGCATATATTACAGCAGATAACAGCTGCTGCTCTAGAAACAGACCAACATGGTAGATTGTAGGATTTATGATGTAAATTATAATGGTAATGTTCTATTCAAGCTTGATTTCTGATTTATGTAAATCCTTTTAGAAGCTAGCTTATGATAAGTGATAATTGTATTCTTCAGAGCTCCCTGYGCCATCTATTGAAAGGTAGCTGTTCAACTTTGATGAAAAGGCACAACGGCCTTTCAGGACGGTGCAGGGAACCATGAAGAAGACTATTAGAGGACTATCACCAATGGACACTCAATGCAGTCATGCCTAAAATTTTCAACTTGATATGATGAAGGGAATTCAAATATCCATTCCTAATCTGTTTCCATCTGTCAGTATTATTAGGGAATCTTAATATATCCAAATTCATGGAGCATTAAGGYTTACTAAAGAGTAAAAGTTTTTGTTTCTAATACAATTTATATCTATATAGATCCAAACAATAACCCAAATATTAGCATTCATATTAGTCATATTAGTAGTTGGTTTGACTTGCRTGAGTTGTAGAGTAGATTCACATGRCACAACTCGTGTCATAGGGATGAAACAAGCAAGCTCGAGTAGGTTGCATGCGATGGCTGTGGGCAAAAGTTGTACYGTCTAAATTGGCCATAGGTACCACAGGGAGCCCGTGTTTGTATGTGCTTCCTCCAATGAATCTTATAAAGGAGTCGTGCTATTTGCACTTCTTTTATCTTGATATACTTTTTATTTAACGTTTCATCATTATGAAGATAACAAAACTTCAGTGTGTCTCATTGATACCAAAGAATAAACATGAATAAAGTATCAACATAATGTAACGTTGCTTAAACTATTTTTATAAATCATAAGTCCTTAAAAATTGGAGAAAAAAAAGCAAACGTTGGTATCCAAAAAACGTCATTTCTTCCAGAATATCACTACTTACAATTTGCACAAAAAATCAATAACAACAAAACAGAACATGTCGCTATCTTCAGAAAATCACTATTTCCAAAATATTTTTAGCATAAGAAACCATCCAAAACCGATAGCTTTATAAGTTAAGCATTGATCCATTTTCCTGAGTTATGATCTCTCGTAGTCAAATTACCGTCCCATTGTTTTTTCTTTAAAGGGACACTGTCAATGGATGACATGCGCGAGTAAACTTGAAAACACTAGGCTAGTGTTTTCAAGTTTATGACTTCAAGTTGGCGCGACATAAATCAGATCGTAAACGTAAACAGATCTAGAATATTCCAAAGTGTGTCAAAAGCACCACCTCGAATGTTATACTTTCAACATCCGTTAGGTGAGACTGTTACTGCGCATGTCATCCATTGACAGTGTCCCTTAAAGCTTTGTTATTTTTCTCATGCTTGTACATCCAACTTGCGGAAAAATCATCTCCCGAGGAACCCATGCTGTTACTTTGTAATACCATGATTTCCGTGGAAAAATTGTTGAACTTGAATAAATGTTCCTTAGGGACTGTTCATTAAATATGCCTCAGGGTGGTCTGGAGGAAAAGCCAAAAAAACCTTGGGAAAATTCGCAGCCCCCCATACTCCATCACAATATTTTTTTCGAGCCTTTTCCCCTCCTTCTGACATTGAGGAAAAATAGCCTCCTCCATATATATATAGTAATGGAAAATAGCTAATCCCATAGAGAAATTCTTAACACAAATATATATGTAAGCATCATATCTCGAACATTTGTTAGTAGGCTGATGATTGTTTAATAACATGAAACTTTAAGTCATTATCCTGCGTGTTTGAGTCGTCTTACAGTTACTACTTGCTGTACAAGTATATAAGCCGAAACGTACAACGCGGTTAGACATATACTATCCATATACTACTTTTTCAATGGACATAGACAGTTGACACTCTTGTTGCTGATCTGCCAGACCCTGTTGTAGTTGTTTCAAAAAAAAAAAAAAATGAAAATATCTTCAAGTTTTTTTAGTTAAAAGATCTAAGGATTTAGAAACTTTAAAAGGAGTCACAAAAAATCAAGTGAATGCTTAAATACTTAGACCTTTATAAAAAATAAAGTAAAGTTGTTGTTTAAAGTGATCATTGATAAGAAATGTATAATCAAAAAACATATTGGTATTATATATTATGAATAGAATAAATTGAAGAAAAAGGCACACAACTTGCAACTTGATTTTCTACTCTTTAATGTACGTTTCGTCAGCAAAGTGTTTTGCACGCGCCATTGCTACAAAAACAAACGCGGCTAACGGAAAACAACAAATTCGATTCTAAGCGTATTTGTTTAAGCCATGAGGGTGAAATGTAAAAAGCTGATGGCCCAATAACGGGTTAGAAAGTAAAATTTTGATCCAATTTCCACACAAATCGTTGTCATAAGCATGAATTTAAGCCATAATTCATGCCATGGSTATGTATAACTCCTCCATGAGGACGATTTCATGCTAATCTACATTAACCACTGATTCAGTGTGGCTTATACAAGTCACCGTTAAACGGTAATTTGCGCATTTGTGACATGCACAAGTGTAATATAAAATTCTCGCTAACTGGGCAGGCCGTGATATTTTTCATGCTACTCAGATGCTATTGAGCTTTATCGTTTGCCAGATGCGACGCTACCATTTATTTACGGCCATATAGCATGTAGATGAATTCTCAATGCCCGAAACGCAGTAACTGCTCGGTCCGCCGAGAGGAATAATTTCCGCGGGAGCCTGGGATCTAACTAAGTAGGATCATGCCTGGCATATGGAAAGTGTTAGTTCATGCCCTTGCGCGCGAAAATCCTTAGTTCATGCCCGGCATGCCCAGGCTCACATATACACATTGGGACCATACGCAAATAGAGAAAGTTCCGTGAAATGCGAAAAAGATGACAAAAAATGAAGTGAAGTCCAATATATATGAACTAAGGATTTTCGCGCGCAGGGCATGAACTAACACTTTCCACATGCCGGGCATGAACTAAGGATTTTCAGTCGCAGGGCATGATAGACTCAGATTAAAATTAAGTTCAAATCCTTTAGGAATTATAATATTAT